CCTTCTCCACTTCAAAAACTGTCATAACTCCTTTGATCTATGCTGCCCGATGGCGTAACCACTGGGGGACAAGGGGAAAATATCTATCTTTGAAAAATCTTCCCCACCCCTTTATAAATGCCCTTTCATCCCCTGAAAGTGCCTAAAAACCTCAAATTTCGCGTGCATTTCTTGTTAACATGGCCCAATTTCCTCTAAAAATTGCAAATTTTAGGGAGTTTTGCGCGCATTTCTTGTTACGGTAGGGCAATTTTCCCTATAAATTGCACATTTTAGGGAGTTTTCATCAATTCCGACGAAATTAGAATTAAAAACACAAAAAATATTTTGCGCACTTGGCGCGCATTTTTTAGGGCTTTTTAAAGTTTTTTCCTTTTTAAGTTATTTAAACACATAATAGTCCCAAACTCAAGAAAGACAAATTTAAGATAGATCATTTTAACCTAAAAGAAGGGCCTCAATGTGTATAGATGGTGAAACAATATGTTTGTAAAAAAACCATGATGAAAATGCTTATATTTAGTTTCAAACACACGTGTGTGGCCTATATTATAAATAAGATAAGACAAATGCGAATGTAGGTAAGAATGGCCCCGGAAAAATGGCCCTGAAAAAAATGGCCCCGGAAAAAATGGCCCCGGAAAAAATGGCCCCGGTAAAAATGGCCCCATATGACAGGTAGGTAAAAATGGCCCCAATGAAAAATTCGGTAATAGAAATATATATTTTTTTTAATCTTTAAATATTTAAATAGTGTATAAGCAAGATTTGAATCAAGAAATAAAAAATGGCCCTCAATTATAAAATTCAGGAAAAAAAAAATATAAATAAATAAATTTTGTAAAATACCTTGTAGCAAAAATTTAATTAATAAATCAACATAAAGAATATGCATATTTGAGAACTAAAATAAATTAGTTTTTAGCTCCTATGAGTAGCTCTGGGAGTAGGTCTAAGTATTTTTTTAAATTATTAATATTATTAGATACTATTACTATATTTGGGGCCAATTATTAATATTATTATTATTATTAATGTCTCTGATGGGACGCTCTAAAACATTGATTCGGCACCGGTTTTGAACGACGAACTTGCAGGGAATGTTATAAACCATTTTCGCGAAATTTGAAATAAAAATTTCCAATAACGTGGCGAATACCAACTATGGGGACTTTCAGAGGCCTGGCATTTCGCGGTACGTATTATTGTCATGGATAACATCAACAATAAATCTAAATTGCTAACGAGCCAAACATTTTAAAAAGGAAAAACAGTACAGTAAAATGTACAATAGTCAGCGAATTTGTCAAACAAGCTATAAAAAAAGTCTCGCCTTGGGTAGCATCTTTTTTAAGAAAATCATTAATTTCCTTTAAAAAAACACAAGTTACTGATTGATTAAATAATTCTATTTTAAATAAGAAATGATTATGAACAGTAAAGGTAACATAGGACAACATTTAAAAGATCATTATATTAGTGCTATTGAAACTGTTAATTATTTCAAGGTTTTATCTAAGTGCAAATCCAAGTTTGATTGCTTAATTAAATAAATGCTTTGGATTAAAGAACTGAAACCTACACTTAACAAACAAATCAGTCAAAGCCAAACTGTGTATCTAGTTAATCTGCTAAGAAGGGCTAATTATTGCTTAGCTCCATTGTGGCTCCACACAGTAGGCCCTATTGATATGTAAATTAATTACTTACTTCCTGTCACTGCTTGGCATTTTTGTTTTTAGTTTTTTTCAACTTACTTGATCTTGAGAATGGTTCCATGATGGACCCGAAACGTCGATCTTTCTTGTCATTAAATTTTGTTTTGAGATTATGTTCTTAATTGATTTAATAAATAAAAGCCACAAATAATAATTTGATTTACTAAATTTCATTATGTAAAAATAGTTATGCTTTAACATAGATTAAAAATATGTTATGCCTTACTTATTTTTAATCTATGGTCTTTTTAATGTAGTAGATGAATGACATATAGTATACAGTACTTCAACTACCAAAATATGCAACTCATAGATAACCAAAAACTTCACTTTTGTTAAATATCAAATGAATTAACTTTACATGTATAAACAATGTAAATAAACAGTAGTTAAAGCATGTGGATCAATTGTGTGTTTGAATCACATGCGAGGCTTACTTTCTCGCAAATTTAGCAATAAATTGTCTGCTTAGAGTTTATTCAAAGAAGTATTGCTTTTAGTAAACTGAATAATTAGGAATACATTTATTTAAGCAACTAATTTAGTTGCATACTTGGTTTTTACTCATCACTAACTAAATCCAAGTGCCTACTACTGGCTTAGAATTATATATAGTTATGTATGGCAATTATGCTAATAATTAAAATGGTGTGCGATTGTGAGGGTAGGGTGATTATGGTAGGATTAAGTGGTATTGCTAAATCCCACAAACCTCCCAAAACACACTGTAGAAAATCAAATAATTCAATTGTCATTGACTGACTTGGTATATCAATAATTATGATTGTAGAACTCTCTTTTTCTTAAAAGAAAAAATAATAATAATTTGATGTTCATACTAACCCACTGTTTGTGGGGTTTACC